ACCTGCGGTGATCCTCGGAGCGCTTAGGAAATACGTCCTCACAGCTCGGAGACCATGACACGACTGAACAATACATTTCAATAATATTAAAATCACATAATTATGGATTGAATAGAAAAACGAACATGTGTATGCAAACTCAATTAGATCATTAGGGAAGATAACGTAGCATTTTCTTTCCTTGAACAATTATTTTGAATTTTAGGAAATATGGTAAAGCGACCGCCCGAGGCCAGAGATAAGGAAGTTTCGCGTACGCTTATCAATTTATGAGAATTATCCGACTAACCTGTAATAATGTGGCAGAGTCGCGTTTTACATTTCAGTTCGTAACTGACAGAGGGTAATGTCGCGCTAAGAAGGGAAAAAGGTTAACATGTCAGCACGATGATCGATGAAAGAAGACGTGGACATGTCATCCAAAATTCAACAGAAATTTTTGAATGCGCGCAAAGATATGAGGTAAGCCACGCACATTTAAATCGATTTTTATGGGAAGGATAATAATCGAAATAATTGTTAACATAAAGGAGCTCATTAATACTTGTTTATATCTTAATGACAAGTAAATATTTAATTTTTAATTACAAGTCTGATAATTTGTAAATAACTGCAAACAATCAAAGAATTATTTAGTGAAACAGAACTTCCAGACATTGCTGATCTGTTCGGACATCCGTCTGCATGCAACAAGGTAAGCTATAGTATAATAATATACTCGTACCTCCTTAGTCGATGGCTATAGTACGCCGTTTGCCGATACTCACGAGTAACAAAATATTAAAATGAATATTAATAAATCGATTTTTTTCTAAATTTAGCAATTTAATTTACCCACTTTTTCTATATCAAGCCCTGTAATAAGAGTGTTGGGTCGAAAATTCACCATTTCTTGTGCAGCATTACATAACTCACTCTACTCCGTATAGAGATAGTAAAAAGCGTGACTACTTGTGTGTGATGCTGTGCCCTTCGATCAAAACGTAACCTAAGGAGGAGAGAAACGTATTAAATACAATAATTTGGAAATCGAAATCTACAGAATGCGGGGCGTAAAAACGCAAGTCGTCCCGATATTTTCGGCGCTCTCGCATATGTTCGGCAAAATTTGTGTAAAAACTTAGACATTCTCCCAGATCATTCAAAAGAATGGGAAGTGCAAGACATTGCTTAACCGATAACAGCCTACATGCTGCACAAATTGTTGTAGAGGCACCGACGTTCCTATATCTGCTACCTAGAAAGTTGTTTGCAACCCGGAGAAGACTTCATAATCATCCGATTCATAACAAATATAATCGTGAATTAGAGGAATAATGATTACTAGCGTATCCATGCAAGAACACTCGTATGTTATTTCCCACCCTTTGTCTATCCGTTCCATTAACAAAGAAAGATTTTAACGAAACGTGTTTATTTGTTAAAAAATGTGTAAATGTAACTTCTAATGTAATGCAACTTTTAATATCAATATTCATTAAAATGATGAAAAACGAGACAGACAGGCGGACGGAAGAATGTTTGCAAATAAAAAACATTTTTTTCAGTATCAAGGGACACCAAAACATGTATTCCAGATGTAATCTCGAAAACAATTTTCCACAACATTACATAACTTTCCTTTTACTAAGTATATTACTCCATATATATGTAAGTATTCGGAAAACTAAAAAGTATAAAAAATACCCAAAATTTACGTTTTCCCTGTAATAATATACTAAGAAACAAAATAAATTTTACACCGTTATCTCAAATAGAACCAATACTTTAAATAAAAAACGTTCCTAGTGCTAACAGTTTCTGTGAAAATGGTGCAGAAGTGTAATCATATTTTCCAAAGTTAAATTGTAAATGTAAATTTTACACAGTTTTAGACTTTTGTCAAAACTATTTTCTGTAGGCCTCTAAAGTACAACATATTGATAAAAAGTGTAGTTTCAAAACACATATACCAAAGTTTTAAAATATTATCTGTAAGCAATCTAATCTTTTAACAAAAGGAAATGGAGAAATAATTGTACCAAAACACGACCCAAATGGTGCCGAATCTTATACAATTAATAATCCTAAAAGAACATCAAATACAATTATTATAATTTTTATTATTATTATTATTTTTATTATTATTATTATTATTATTATCATCATCTTCATCTTATTTATTATTTCAGTAGTGTAGCGGCTCTTACACGCAATAGATATTTAAAATGATGTCGTTAAATAAGAGAAATTCACGGAGACGTGACTAATTGCGCTTGACTTTAAAAATGTGAAGGATTTGTTTAAAAACGCATCTAAATATTCATGTATAATGCAACACGCATCACTCAGACAGTTATACCGTTGAATAACTCCTAAACGAAGCGTTTTAGGGCCTTTAAAACTAAAATTTTGAGTCCAATAGCCTCGAAGAAAAATTCATCAAACAGTAATATTTAGGATGAGATATTCTTGGACATTCTGTAATATATAGGATGAGATATTCTTGGACATTCTATTAAATTTTGTTGGTTCGGCACTTATTGAGCACCAAAGCCACCTAGATTTTACCCTTGGAGTGAGTGGCCATTTTTGTGACGTCACGCTTAGAAGGCATACAGATCTCGATATTATATTATTTATGCTTTCCGTCTACACCGTGGTTTGCGCTGACAGATGAGGGTTATTTGCATAATTATTAATTGAAGATTCGCTCTCGCAGCAACAACTAGAAGTACTATTAATAGCTGCTTGATACCGATGAAGATTGTTTCTTATGCGTGTAGTGAAAACATTTATTTTAACGTTTTACCGAGGCCTACAAGTGCTGTGTATTTATTATACGCGCACGTTTTCTCGAGCTCCGAAATACCTCCCCCCACTCCTTTGCCAACATCAGTTGAATTAAGAATAAATGATAGCAACGAGTGTTGTAGGCAAAATCTGATAAACAAATGTTCACTCCCATGAAATAGAAACTATTTTGCTTCAAAAAATGAACAACAAATTAGATTTAAAATTCCTTTTGTGAAAAAACTTCCCACTCATCTCGCAACTAGCGAAGAGAGGGCTTAAGACGTGCGCGAATAATATCTAATTGTTGTGAACTTTTGGACAGGCCGCAGGCATAAAATGAAATAAACATGATATTAAAATTATTAGAAATTTTGAAATTTTTCTCACGTAAACAAAAAATATTTCATTTGTATCCACGATATTGGTAAGGTGTCACAACGTTCAGGCTCATAACTTCAAATATTTAAATCTGTTAAAAAAACAATAAGAACGTATCAACATTTATGTTTCGAACTAATGGTGTGTATGTTTTATATTGTAATGCAGCTTATGTAGGCTAGGCAGAAAGGAAATTTATTCATAGAGTTAGTGAACATATTAGAGCTTGCAAATAAAACCAAGGAAATTCCACATTTGTCTCACATGTTAGGGAACATAACCACTCTTTTGACTCACAGAACAATTTCCAAATTTTACACATTCAGAATAAAGTATCTAAATTAAATGTTTTAGAAAATTTACGAAAACATCCTTCAATGACATGTCTAAATGACCAAACAGATGTGAAATGAAGCTTGCTTATAAATTTATTTACTTCCTGCACCTCCCAATCCCCCACACCAGACTACTTGAAGAAAAAATGGTTTGTCCATTCAATATGGATATCGCATTCTGAAACCTCAAACTGTATACATATATGACCTCATTACCTGAATAAATAAAATCTCCACTAAAATCGATAAATTAAAATTGGTTATAAATACATTGTAATGATAATTATTGGGCTTGTGTTAAGATTTTAAGTTATGTTTTGGTATTAATGTTGCTGAAGAATCACTGAAGATGGGGAAAGTTCCCCGAAATTAGTATGGTACTATGTATATAAGTGTATAATATGTTAAATACAATGTTTTTACTTATTGTGGTCTGATTACGTCATTAATACACCTAAGAACAAATAATTAATGACTATAATACTAAACTTCAATAAATTAACAATAAATTCATTCACATTTAAAAGAATATCGTATTATATTGTTCTGTCATGGATTACTTCACTTGGAGACTTTTTTACCCAACCTATGCCTCTGCAAGTGTCCTTAACCCGTAGAAACGTTTTTTTTCGATTTAAACACAATATTAGGCTTCTGCCTAATATAGTAACCATACCATCACTGATCCCGTCAGTTGAGACTTGGCAAAATCCTACAAGAGATTGAAACATTACGATGAAGTGCTCATTAGAGATGAAGATGGATTTATTGTGATTGCATGACATTAAGTAATAACTTTCCTCTGCTATATAACCAATGCACATTTTTTGATGAACGGTATGAAGTATGTAAGATAAAGCGATGTTACACATCTTCCCCCCAAACTTTTTTGGCACCTGAGAAGAGTTTCTTCTTCCCCTCCAATCACCTTGTACTTCAACGGACTCGGCCGCGGCACAAACAGAGGAGCGGAAGTCGGTGACGGTTAAGCTAGTGAGAAGGGTTTTGTTCAAATACTTCACGGGTAAAGTCTAATGTAAAATTTTGTAGCTCAAATTGTTCTATTTAGAAAGGATTCTTTAGGGACTGTATATTATGTTTACACACATTTATATTTGTAAAAATACTGACCACACCGTTAAAGCAACCGTTAAAATCAAAGTACAATATCAACTTTAAAAGTACAATAATTAAGACAAAGAACATTATAAGAAATGTTAAAGATAAAATACCTAAACATGATATGATAGATACAGTTTGTGCACTTCGATGCATAGATTGTCAGTAGAAGCATATTGGCCAAACAAAGAGAATTAAACAGAAAATAACAGAACAGAAAAAAATATCAATGAAGTTATAAATAGACCAAATTCAATATTCTAACATAGAATTAAACTAAATCATTCAATAAATTTTGATCAGTTTCGTATTTTAGCGTTAGAACCCAACAAAAATAAAATTTATTACTTGAAACATTACAAAAAAACACAGAAAACTATGAATACAGTTATAGAATTCAATCAGTTTATAAAAATTTATGACAACATGCTAAATATTTTTCGAGAATTACTCCTCCCTTTTTTAACATTAGGATCGAACCTTTCTGAATACACTTTAAACTATATCCTAATTTCCGTTATTTCTCCACTATCAGCAAGTGTAGTTCCTTCACTACTGGTGGTATTGCTGAAAGCGAAGTGCATTGATGGGCTGTCGGGGCCGTTACGTCGAGGGCATATAATATAGTATGAGTAAGTGAGTCAATGGCGCTGTTGATTTGCTGCGTAGTACGGAGTAATGGCAGTGGAGGTAGAAGATGTGTAACTAGCATCTGATAATATGGTCATTGACATTACGTAAATGACAAGGCTGAGCGAGGAGAATTTCTTCTGGGGTTGTGTCGAGTGAGAAAACTGCGGGACGATGACCGGATTGCAGGGCGATATGAGTCTCGTCTTGAATGTTAGTTAATGAACTTAGGTTATCAGAAACGCCGAAATCTAGGTAATAAGCTTGCACTGACGCGCGGTAGGGATAGTAGCTGGGTGTATCAGAGGCATGTACAGCCAGATTTAATCTTTGTATGTCAGCAGGCAATAGACGACCAGCAGGTGAGTTTAGTCTACTTCCCCAAGCAACGTGTTTAGCATTCCAGTCACCGATCACAAAGGTTGGTTGATGGCAAGAAAATAAGGTATCAATATCACCTGCTCTGTATGGAATATTCGGGGGCTTGTAAATTGAAGTGATTATTAGAGTATATTGACATTTCTGCTGAATAGCCACACTAATATTTTCGGAAGTGTTATTTATATTTAAAGGTAGCTGATGATGTGTAACGAAATTTTTTACAAATATGGTGACCCCACCACTGCACCGTTTTCGCGGTCGGTCGTAGCGTCATAAAACATAACCGGGAATATAAATTTTCATCGAAGGACGAAGATGATTTCCCCGAATGGAAGCTACTTGTATTTTATTATTATGCAAAATGTGGGCCAGCGTATGAATATTAGGTTTAACGCCGTTTGCTTTCAATGAAATAAGACTGAGTGTGGAATGAGTGCCACTACTTATAGGCATGATTTTATGGATAATATAATTTTATTGATTGAAGGATGGAGATTGTAAGAGAAGGAATAATTTGACTTAGAAGTTCGGAGAAGAAATGTTTTACCTGTTGGTAGATAAACTGTTCCAATTGGAAGGGGGGCCCAATGGGCGGGTGTATGGGCTGTTTGAAAACATCTGAATATAGCGGTATTTGCTTTGGTGTTATAGCAGCTTTGTTTTAATCCTACGTCAGGTGGGATTTGGTTCTTGATGCATTGTGATAGGAATGGAAGGGGAAGGATGAGGATAGGCTACAGGGGGAGCCCTTGGAGGGGTTAATGAACGTGGATGATGAGGTATCGCTGATTTTGCGATTTATCAGAAATGGGTAGCGGGATGGGAGTGATTTTCTCTTGAGACTTTTTTGATAAATTTAACAGTCACAACCCGAAGTACGACGAGACTTTCCGCAGAGTAAACATTTGGTATCGGTACTGGAACATTCGGCCGTGGCATGCGACCCTGCACATTTTCCGCAACGAGGCGGATTACTACAGTTTTTGTGGGGTGTTCGAATATCTGACAACCTCGACACTGCTCTGGCCCTGGTCTATGACGACGGTCTTCAACCTTGATTATCTTTGAACAGTTCTTTTAGTTCATATATTGCCTTGCTTTCGGGTGATTTCGTAAGAGTAACAGTATATAAAGGCCAAGGTTTACGATTAGAATCAGTCAGTCTGATAACTGTTAATACTGGTTCAACGTAATTTTTGTTCACTTGTTCTTGATGTATTTCTTCCTGACTAAAGGATGTTTGGATATTTCGTAGCATCACAGAAATAGTAGTCTTTTCTGGATCCCTGTACGTATGATAGTTTATCCCTTTCGTTGACTGCTTGCGAAGTGCTTACGAAGTAAAGTAAAGTATTCGACTGAACTTGTTCAGATTTGAGTATAAGGTCCTCTGATTTTAGTAACAAAATTTCCATACTTAAGCGATTCCTTAATTTTTTGCAAGAGTTCCGAATGAACAGGTGTATCATAAATAATGTATGGAGGTATCTTAATCGGTTGTGTGGAAGGAGAATCGATGTTTGAGGCTCCTTCCTCGGGGTCGGGTCAGGGTCAAGAGTGAAAAATCTATTGCCGTTTGGGATGTTATATAAAGGCACATTTGCACTATAAGCATGCTGGATCCCTGTACATACGAAACTTGGTTATACTCTGCATCTTGCAATCTGGGGCGCTTAAGAGAAGGAGAATGCGGTGTACTTACCTGTGGAGACGGTTGAGAATATCCCACGAGTGGTGTAGACAGCTGCGTGAAGGTTGAATTCGCAGGTTGGCTAGTTGCATAAAGCTAATGCTGATGCTGTTGCTGTTGCTGCTGCTGGTGGTGGTGCTATAGGTAATTAATTAGATGTGGTTCCGTATAATGATAGTCTTTAAGTGCGTATAGGGCTGACGACACCACATCTGTTTTTGGAGGAAATGATGCATTCGCGTTTTTCGCCATTCTTGGATTGAATATTTAACAAAGATCGCTCTAAGTGGCCCGAGAGGGCCCGTTGCCGGGGTGACAACACCGTGTGCTGATATTTCTCGAAATAAACACTGTTAACAATGCACTTCACCGCACAGAGATATTTAAACAAGTCAGTCGCTTGTTGAAGGGCCGTAAAACGGCCCCGCGGGGGCACTTCTTATCTCTGGTCACAGTCGAGGCACTGCGGAGTGATAAGCAGCGGACGAGGTGTGCACCGTTGGGTAGCCAAACGCAGAATGTCTATAATTTGTAAAAATTGTAAATAGTTTTAGTATATACTAGTTTTAGTTTCCTGTTATTACAGGTGAGCTTTCTTTGAATTGGGTAAAGTATAAATTTATTTGTTATTTTTGTAATTTTGTGTAAATCATTTTGGCTTCATGGAAAATTTTATAATTACATTTTCAGTTGTACCTGATGAGGGACACAATATAGTCTCCGAAACGTCGTAACACAAGTGAATAAAATTATTATTGGAAAAATGTTTTGGCACAGAAATATTTACAGTTATGGGCACTACCTTTTTTTGCTTATGGTCTGCTCTGAGAAGGTGAAAACACTCACGAAAACGAAGATTATAAACCTGGCTACTCTACGTAAAGATTGGACTGCAAATAAAAACACACGAATTGACTTAAATCCTTAATAACTGGACTGGACTCCATTAAGGAATCCACAACGTTTTGATGTACGCACTACAAATGGAGCACACTACTATCTATTGAAGTGTACTTACGCTCACTACGGGGTTCATATGTGGGGTTGTAAACTTAAAGAAACACACTACACAGAGATTACATGCAGAGGGCCTCTCGCTGTTTGAAAATCGTATTATTTTACTACTTACAATTACCGAGCCCATCACTGTACTGGTTCCTACGACTGCACCGGTTACCCTACTAATCAAAGAGCTGCCACGAAGTCTTATTGAAGTTTCGTGTGTTTGTGGAGGCGCCGCCATCTTGCCACCTGGCGCCAAAGCTTTGCCGATACCAAACGGGGTTCCCATTCTCCTCCCTGCTACAACGCATCGCCAAGTATATGCGAACCACATGTATTCAATAAACATAGAAACATACTAATCATCGATGCAGAAAGTATAATTAGGCACGATAGTGTACCTCAGAGTGAAATAATCATTTTATATTTGTTAGATATTTCAAAATGTTTGTCATGTTCTTTCAAAGTTCCATGGTTGCTGGAGGACAGGAAAACCAAAAGTTGTTGATTTGGGGGATCATCGATAGTCGTTTTGTCTGCATCTGATCGTGGTTAGTTCAGATCCCTTGATAGAGACGAACAGAGTTGACTAAACTCGAGATTGACAGAATGAGAAGACAATGGTACACATTGTGCTAGAGCAGTAAATCCCACAATAGCAACGACGGAGTCCATAATATTGAAGAAAGCTATGGTGGTGACAGCGGGAAAGAGAGGTGCAGAGGCTGGTAGATTCATCGTGAGAGTAATCAGTCAGAAAGACATCATCGTATTCTAAAATAGCTACGATATGCATTTTACAACAGAGACAACTATGATTAAAATGTTCCTTGTTGAATATATTCCCTCTGTCAGAAACTGAAAATATCATTTGACAACTGGTTGAGCGACTGGCTCGTAAGAATTTGTCTTCGACTGAGTTGTTGACTTGGTAAGCATCTTGGTCTGCCACAGGATCGACAACTCTTTGTTCCCCCCACAGTAACCCTGTTGAGACGGGAATTTATTTTCTACAGCTTGGATACGTTAAGCTACTGCCTTGCGGCTTAAGCAGGTACAGGAGGGGCTTTGTCTTAATAACTAAGTTTAATTTAATCTAATTCGAAAGTTAAATTACCTGCAATTTGTCATGCCTAACTTACCGTAAGATTAGTTCTTAACTAATTACTGGAGAAATTGTACTTTTTTGATAGGTGAGATTTTTTTCTCTACTTTCACACATCATTCATACTTTTTTCGTCATATACATAACTATTCATTCATCCCATTCACACACACTCGACGAGTCGACAACGAGGTCGGGGACTGAGTCGGAGACAAAGGGGGTTGTGTCGGGGTTAGCGAACAGGGTTGGTGACAGGCCTGACGACGAAGCCACGGAGTAAGTGTGTATGTTTGAGACAGATACAGTGGTAAGGTCTGTAGCAGGCTAAATTACGAAATCTTCTTCCTTTGTATCCTCTGCCTTAGGTGGCGGGGAAGACAATTTCTAGTGAAGAATCCCCTTCTTTTTATTAAATCTATGTATTGCATTTTCAGAATGTGTAGTTTCTTTATTTGTATTACATATTGTGTAATCAATTGCTATTGGCTCTCTTACAATGTTAAATGTATGTATAATAATACCCCCTTTACATTTCATATTTTGTAATTTCATTATCTAATTATTATAAATATTAGACGTATCTATTATTTATATTAATCCCTTCAACCTTCTCTTATTTTGCATTTACTTTGTATTTTATTTACATTCTATTTTGTTTATATTAGTAAAGTGATGACTGCAAGCTGTCGATAGCCGGCTCTAAATAAATGTATAGAGAAATATATTGAGTTGACCGAGATGACTTCCATTATTTTTTCATGTAATTACATGAACGATACCGCATCGGAATTCTCACAAGTCATCTTCGATGCCGAGTCTCATCTCTACGACAAGGACAACCGCCGACGCCAGCAGCCCCCCGAGGAGGACGATGAAGGGGGACGCAATGTCCCCTAGTGGCAAACCTTCCGGACCTTTGTGGAGACCTCCTTCAGCCATCTCGTTGAATCTCAACAATGCCTCGTACTCTAGAGTGTAGTTGATCATCCAAAAGTCTCGCAAACCGCCGGCGTCTAAGTAGAGTGTCATAAGACTAATGGCGTCATTCCATGGCCAACTTCTGAAAAAAATAATAGGTAATTGTAATAAGACGTAATTGTTTGGAGTTCAAAATAGAAATTAAAAATTTCCAAGAATGAAGATCGCTCTCTCCTATCGAAACACTACCACCAACTCTATCTTACTAGACTATAAAATACTATACCCGACCACAGTTTTAAAAATCCTAACTTGATTAATTTTAAAAATATCCTAACTATTTATTACAATTTAATGAAATTATGGGAACTTTTATTTCTTGTTCACGATTCACCGCGGAATGATAAATAATAATTATCAAGCCTGTCAGTATGTTAAATTCTTAGTGATGCATTTAGATCGCCAAATTGGTAAAAACATAGCATTAATCTTGTGAATAAATGTAAATTGGCAATGTGAATTCGGAGTTGTTGGCAAGAAACTTGGTGGGCCGCCAATCCTTACTCGTTGTTAAATATTTTTTATTAACAAGATCCAAAATAGTATAAAGAAGAATTGTATGTATCCCTACAGGGACGAGATATCTGGTAAGTCAAATAAGTGCAATTGTAAAAGGTTTAGAATTAATAATAAATTTGGCGTATATATTAGAAAACATCGTAATAGTTATATAACCAAACCAATGGACTGCTATGAACCGCGGCATTCGGAAGCGCGCGGTGACGACGTGTGAAGGGGACCTAAATAATAGTATTCCCACTACGCTGTCGGTTGCGTCGTTTTACCCTCTGCGGTCCCTTTGTTTGTCGTCGGCGAGGGGGGGGAGAACCCTGTCACTTATCGGAAGCGCGCCGCGGTAGCGACGTGTGAAGAGACCCATAGCCCGAATCCGACGCACGTGGGAAGACCTCCATTTAAACCAATGCTCTACAACGAAATGCAGCGTTCAGAAGCGTGTCGTGGTGGCGACGTATGAAGTGGCCCTTAGCCCGACCCAACGCACGTGGAAAGACCTCCATTCAAACCAATGCTCTGCTATGAGCTACGGCGTTCGGAAGCGCTCTAAGTGGCGAAGTGAGAAGGGGCCCTGATTGCGGGTAACTCGCCCCGCCACCAAAGGCCCCCCTACGTAGCGGAGGAGCGGGGTCCTTCAGAACACAAGATCACGCTAGCTGACAGAGATATTTGCCGGCGAGATTGCAAAGTTTTATAACCTCAATTGCCTCGTGAGAAGCACCGCCATCCACAGGCGAGGATGCGGCCGCGATCAGTCGACACCACGCCACCTAGAAGTTTGTTGGACGGGAGCACTTTTCCAAGAGGCACGCAAGCCCCCCCTACCCATCTTTGGCAGCCTCCTCCTAGAGCGCATCGAAGTTACAGAGGGCGATATTCTATATATTTTGTGAACCACCAGATGACAGAGATTCAGATTCGCTCGTCAGTTCTTATGAGTTTGTACTGGTTCACGAAGACAGTCGCTTCAATGTGAACTCTGACTTGTGCTACGCTGGCAATCAGCAATTGTGCCTCGCCACTCATCATAATGCGGCAACGGTATTAACGGCAGTAATCAGATTTATAAGCTGCCCATTTCGCCGTTAACTAGAGTTGCAAGCTTCATATCAGCGTGTGCCTTGCTGGCATATTTTCGTGTCACTCGCGTGACTGCGGCGCCACTGCCAAATTAGACCATGGCAGCATGAATTGCCTGGTCAATTGTCCAGCCACTTAGAGTATTCGCTCAAACAGGGATGTACTGTGTCGTGTGCATCCTATCCACTACGCAGCAAGTCTCCAGCCCCGGCAACAATCGAATCGACTGCAGTCCCTCCATACAACAGGTACCTGTTTCTGCCTCCGGGGAAGCCGAGTCAGTAGGGTTCAAGTTCGTCCTAAGAAATGTAGAAGAATTAATTGAAATTGAAATCATCATTTAGAAATCAACTTTTGGTCATTTTTATTATGTTAAACAATTTTATAGACTCATCTTTGTGCATTACTAATTAAGCTTTAGGAATATTTCTCTTTTATTAATAATGCATTACTCGGACCCGGCAATTCAATATGTAAATAGTACATTAATTTTTATAATTGCTTTGTTTTATCTTTTTAGACCATAAGTTTCATTTCTTTTATTCCAAGAGGCACTATCACTGTCCTTTCAATTTTGCTTCATTAAATTAAATATGAATTTAATTGCTTATTTCCTATTCGGCCGATTCCTATCATTTCCTCTTACGAGGTGGTCCCCCAAGCCTTTATTTCAGTAGCCCTCTGACTCTATCGTCGAGCTACCAGAGGCCGATATGTGTGTGTACTGTGTGCATATAGAACGCAGTCGAGTTCACGCTGTTGGCTCGTCATCGTGCGTGGCGCCGTGTGAGAGGTGGCTATCGGGTGAGTAGCGCATCTGCACGCGCTCACACGACACGGACGCCCAGTGAGCATACAATATTTATAGATCAATATTATGTGAGCTTCCACAGCGTGCCCAAATAGGACAGTAGTAATAGTAGAAGATTAAATCAATAAAAAGATTATATATATACAAAAATAAAGATTCATTCTTTCGTATTTCACAAATAAAGATATTTATTATTTATTATCTCAGTGGACACTTCATAATAGAATGTTATAATCTGAAGCTGCTCTTAAAACCTCATACAAAGTGAATAGTAAATCCGATTCTCCCATCATCAATTACATCAGACAATATTATGCTTTTAGCGTTTGTACAAAGTATAGGGAAGCAAATTCAACTACTGTAGATTCCCGCACATAAAGACAATATTACAAATGAAACCGTAGATAGAATGGGGAAGTGGTCAGCCACAGATGAGACTGTTGATTCAGTTTCTCCTCTATTCAGGTCCTCTTGATGTATGTGCGAAAAATAATCCTCGAATAGTGAAGATTAAATAATTATACAAAATTAGCAAATAACACGAAATAATATGTCCTGTTGCAGACAAATTAATTTTAAAATGCTATTTCTCATTTTATATAAGTATTTTTTATTGCAGCAGGTATAGAAAACTAGAAATTCGTATAATTAATATGCTTACCTCGATGTAGTCCAGGATTGGAGATGTATACCAAGGTTATCTTTCAAGACATGACCTTTTTGACCACCTATTTCATTTTTCCTCCAGATGAGCCGCCGTGTTTTTGTTATAGGAACTACAGGTGGCTTTCTCATTCTTAAAACTGTACTTATTTCATCAAATTCAATGTTTTTTTCTTTAATATTCACATATTTCTCTTTGACAACAGAAAGTAATTGAACAGATAAATCGTCGTAGCTTGCTATAGGTATTTCCTGTTTTTCCAAGTCTTCAAATGTGTTCACTGTTGGATAGGTCTCTGGATCAGCTACCAATGAGAAGAGGCAGCCCTAGACGAGACGCACAGTTTGACAGTAACAGAAGAAAACAGTATTAGAAGACAAGAACCTGTACCTTAGGTCCAATTGTATCATGAGACCGCAGTGATTTTGAACAATCTGGGGGGGGGTAGGCAACACTGACACTTTCATTTATAAATTAATTACGAGTTTATTCAGAAGGAAGTGTAATCTATTCCCAGACATTAAAAACAAAATTTCAAAGTTTGCGAAATTGGTATTCTGTGAGACGTTATGTGAAATTTTAAAGAACAAATTGAAGCCATTTTAAAAAAAATATGCCTTTTATTATTTTTACTATTGCTCGTATTTCACTCAAACTTGAGCAAATACTCATATTGTATTACAAATTACATGAATTACATTTATTGAAGGACTAACTCTGATGAACTAATTTCATTTACTGAAAAATCTTAATCTTCGATAATGTAGACATCGATTTTTTTAAATTGGCAATTATCACAAATTCGCGGATAATCGTCAAATTCAGACCTATGCGATCTTCATAAGTGAAGTAAGTGTAAATTCACAGACAGGCAAAAGAACGGACGGACATTTTGGGGAAAAATCATTCTTTCCTTATTTCAAATGTGTTTAAAGAACAGGTTTCTTTAAGGAAAAAACCTCTATCTTCTATTTTTTAGTTCTAGTAAGGCGCCGAATAAATGTTCAATTTTTGCAAATTTCAAAAAATCGGGGATTTCAACGAACATAGGACCTGTACATCTCACTAAAAAACTATTACGCTAGCTGTCAACTAAAATTTAATTAAAATAACTGGTGCAATTTTTTGAAAAAGTTGGTAAATGTCCCCAGTTGTTTCATGTAAAGTACGCCGATATTAAAATTTGGTTATTAATTCCAGAGGTCGCGACATCAGTCAGACCTATAGGAGAATATAAATTCTGGAGATAATCGGCTGAAGGTTTAACAGCTAGCGTTTACAGAGAGACAAACGCATTGTCAGACGTCTTGACATCAATCTACTCTTCGGCATCATGGATTCTGGGTAAATCAGTGTTAGAATCCTTTTTCTGAATTGGGCAACCGAATGTATCTACTTTTTCGTAGGCAGGGCAAGGCAATTAGAGTTTATTCTTTCGAAAATCACTGTTTTTCCTGCAGCATTTCATAAAATTTTCTATACGTCATAACCAGTAGCAAGATAGTAAACAATTTTACAGTATTGACATTTGTGTATTTATTGGTTTTTATAATTGAAAGCATGAAAAGTTAGGAATGTCTGTAAAAAAATTAATGAAAGTACAAATTTGCAATTTAAATCCGTGTTCTGTAATTTTAGTTGTCCCGAATTCTTAACATTCATAACATTCGAAAATCGCAAAAATTCTCTATCAAAATATAGAATAAGCCTAAATAATTAAATATATTTTGATAATACTCTTATGTTGAAAACAGAAAGCAAATTTCGAGAAAGAATCATACCGGAAACTGAACATCAAAATTCGTAACGTAATTGTCACAACGCAAGAATACAATCAATCTTCGAATTTATTGGTCTATATTTTGTCTGAAATTAAGGGCAAGAACTAAGATTTAACTTAACTTCCCACTAAGATTTAACTTAACGTCTTCCCAGTTTTCTACACTTCCCTACCCTTCTTCCCAACCCTACCCTTCTACCCTTGAAACGTCGCGACGTGTTTGTGTCGATGTAACGATATTGAATGTTGAATGTATGAGTTTCAAAATAATCTCAATTAATTTTTTTCTTTAAAAAATCCGTTACAAAAATTTAAATTTTTAAATAACGCCAAATACAATTGCTTTGAAAAACTTAGTTTCTGCGTGTCTTCCTTGAATTTTATAGGTAATTAAAACATTCTCCAAAACGGCAACAATATCTATTTATATTGAATAGATCAACGTATGCTGGTAGGTGTAGTGCACATTTTTGAGAACTGTATATGAGTTTAATAAAAACCGAAATGTTGACCCATTTAATGTGTATTGTAATTGTATGGTAATACAGTGTCGATCTACCTGATATACGTTTAGCGACGATGACAGCAGAGGTGAGCAGGCACGCTGGCCAGCTGCAGTCGCTGCGCCGTCCGTAACCGCGCACAGACGGAGCTGCGGCCGGGCCCCGCACGAAGGAGAAGGCGCGCCAGCGCCGCTGGCCACGCTCGCCCGCCAGCGACTCGCGCGCCACCACGCGCCCATGCCAGCGCGTACGCCAGCACGGCGCCCAGCAGCGACCGCCCAGATGGCGCCCCCGAACACGCGCAGCGGCAGCGACCACGCGGGCAGCGGCCCCGGCAAGGGCGTAACCAATAATATAGTTTCAACCAAGCACGTGCCTTGAATTATCCTTTCAATTGGACGTGGAGAAGAATATACTGGAATGATAACTATTATGTCCTTTGCAAGATACTCTTCATACAAACATTTATATGCGAACGAGCTATTAGGAACCTGTAATAAAAATTAATTAGTTGGTCTATTTCTAAAACAATTTTAATATTTCGAGAAATATTAAATCATACGAAAAAATACTTATATTGAATGTCAGTAATACTAAAATAGAAATGCATCTATGCTACATTTTGTATAGCCCCGTGTGCTGCATTTCGTGGACAGGGTGAGAACTGAACGTATTAAAGGAACTGTAAGGAACTGTCCAGTCTATGTAACACTATCTTACATTTTTTTAGAAGGGGAAAACGTGATACGAGTACTACACCCCAACTTCGAATTACTAATCTCTGAATAGTAGATTAAAATATTATAGTTTCGTCATGAAAAGCCCATAGTCACCTTATTTCAAATTCACAAAGATTTTGAGTTTTTGATGCTCTTTAATCATCCATACATGTTATGAAGTCGGGCAAAAAAAAAGTGTTAAATATTTTAAAAAGAAACATAAAAGTCAATTAGGCTTCGTTTTCTAAAATGCTGTCTAAGGATTACAACTCCGAATCCTGTTTCTTCTTGCATGTTTTCCACATTCTTCTCATATATTATTCGGGAAATAAACATGACAATTCAAACGGACTTTTATGTCTACAATTCAAACGGACAAAAGCTGCACTTCCATTTACGATTTTCTGTGTTCTAAATTTAAGTGAAATTAAATGGTAAATGGAAGAACAATGAATCTTCTGAAGACTCTCATGGTGCTCCCAAATTTACGGAACATGTGAAGTGAAAATAGTGACATACCAGAGTGTCACACAAGAGTAATACAACGTAATGGATGCATCAAAAATATTAAAATCAAAAGATCACGTGTAGCATAGCAACGAACTATAAACATTTTTGCGCCATGTTGGATGATAGACGCGAATTGTGTTGTGGACATACGGCAGGCCTGGTGTCATTAACATGGAATTGATTAGGGGAGGGCGTTGAACATTTAGCGTTTGCATAAAGAAACGAATTGTGAGTCTCGCGGAAGTCAACAAGCAGTTCACATGGCATGAACATTAATGAGACCCGAATGGCCTCTGTAGACAATAATAGTTTAAACAATATTTTAAAAGCCGCTCGCAGAACGAACGGCGCCGCGAACCGCGACAAGAACGTCCAAGAACGGATCGTCCGCTCGCTCACTGCGGGAAGCAGCGAGAAGTTCGTTGGCGGCAGAGAACAGGCAGTAACGGATAGAACCGGGTGGTGTGCAGACGGCAGATGAGCGCGTCAGAGAATGACTTGATGAAAAGTTATGTCGAGACTTTGGGTAAAGCGAAAGTGATAGGAAATAGGAATACCGAAGGTGAAAGGTAACGGCTCGAGGTACAATTGTAATTTATGTAGGGAATAAGCCAGAACAATAGTAACAGCGTGGGACATAAAAGAAGACAGTGCCGGTAAGTAGCAATCGACACGTGGCGTTAAGAGACTGTGTTACTTAGTTAATAAGTAATTAGAACAGTTGATTTACGAGCATAGCGGGGCAAAATAAATTAGTTGATAAATTAGAAAGGTTTTATTATGTTACAAATTGGCATACCCAACGCGGGGCAGGTTCAGTGTTAGTTTCAATAGAAATTGGCGATAAAGTTTAAAACGTACCAGGAAGTAGTAGTTATATTAGAAATAACACTAACGTAATTATAATATTGCACTATGTTGGCGGTAACTAGAGAAAATCAAAAAAATCTTCAATGTTCATAGAGTTCAAACTCTAAGTACATATGAATTCCTTAATATGTCAACAAAAATCTTTCCATCGTGTTAACAAGTGACAAGTAGCAATGTTAATGGTGTGATATGCAACTCAGTTGGAATGTTGAAGTTTTCTACAAACATAAGTTGGTGTAAAATGTTAGTCATGAGAGACGCATATCCACTTAACCTACATTAATGTCTTTTCACGAAGAAAATTGTATTAATGATTTTAAGGATGGGATAAATCGTTGAATTTTAATATTTTGTTGAATTTTACAGAAAAATGGTGAGCCATCATGTTAAAAGAAATAAATATACAGTCGATTCCGGTTATTGTGAATTCGGATATAGTGAACCCTCGTTTATAGAGATCTTACGTCACTGGTCGCGTTTCACTTACATTGCAAATATGCATAAGTAGATTCGATTATAGCGAACCTGATCCCTGGCTTTGGTGTGAACGTTGGAAATAAACGTCCTGGAAGTTAATTCCCTCCTCGAAAATAATATAACGCCTCTGTGCCACAAATTCCAACAAAGGGCCGATTGAATAAATATCGCCGCCCGAAGGTCAAAATCGAAGACGTCTCCCCTGGAGTGAAGATAACGGACCCGAAATGGCGATCTTACGATTGACCATGTGCCACTCACTTTCACTGCGGAAACACAGATTGTGTCCTAGTGAAAAAGTACCATATTACTATTTTCAGTTTCAAGCTTGGTGTTACATTCCGCGGGAAAAAGTGCGTTGAGTTCTACGTGAGCGACAGGTAGGCCGCGACTGCCACAGCCCCGAAGCTTGGCGACACCACACGCGCCACGCAGAAAAGCGATGTTTCATTAACCACTTGCGCCAT